CTCTGATTCCCAGAGGTAGAAAATCAATCAGAAACACGGCTAATTAAAAAAAATTTTACTCCATAGTTTCCTTAGCTTATATAGTCTTTAAAACTCAATAATAATGCTGACAGTTTAGAATAGTCATAATTAATAGTACATAATTATACAATTAATAGTATTTTACAGGATGCGCCGCATAACTTTCAGGGCTCAGTACAAAATAAAAAGGGACCCCTTGTTCAGAAATTGGTAAGAACTTTATGATGGCGACAGCAAGGCACAGAACCAAGCACCGTGTTCGTCCGAGCGTGGACCCTGGGGTGCTGCAGGCCGCACACCCACGAAGCCAGTTCTGGTCATTTAGGAAGTGAGCTGTGCGTGCAGGGCAGTGGGGATAGAGTGGCAAACAGGACAGACCTGTCCTTGCCTTCAGGGAATGTGCCATCCATAGATAGCTATTAAGTAGGTAATCACGATGATGGATCCCTTAGTGAGAACTGGACAGGTGCCGAGAAGGGCAAGGACTGGGCGCTGTGGGAGGAGTGCATACCTCGGAACCTCACCTTGTCGGAGTCCCACCCCTTGTTTTTAACTTGAATATGTTTCTATTTATGCAGCGTGGGATTTCTTTTCTTTCCCTTCCAGCCATACATAGAAGAAATTTGTGAAAGTCTTCGAGGCAACATTTTTCAAAAATTTATGGAAAGGTAAGAATCTCTCTCTCTCTCATGAATTTTTAAAATTGAGATGCATTTGACATATAACATGATGTTAGAATATTGATATTTATAAAATCTTGTACTGTGTAGGTGCACCTCATTTAACCCAGTAAATGTTGTCCTTGAAATGCATGCTAATTTATTCATTCACCAAGTATTTGTTGACCACGTACTATGTGCCAGGCTTTGTGTTAGCCTGTTTTCTTGATACCACACATTATAATTTTGATTTGCGTAGCTTAAAGTCCCTTTGACTTTTAGTTCTTTAGCTTCAATATGGTCCAAAATTTAAATAGGCTGGAGAACCTCACTATTGAAAGTATCTTATTGGGCACCTTTACCAGTGCAAGCACAGCTCTGTCATTTACCTAATTCATTTGTTTGGACTTTGAAATCATGACCCCCAAAGTAAGACAAGCCCACGCTTGAGTCTAGTAGAATTTGAAGGGTGTAGGTGAATTATGCCTGTGATCATATTTATCATTAATATACTGAATAAACATGTCCCTTTGGGTTACTTGAGCTGTAGAATAGCACGTTTGTCATAGAAAATTCTGAACCATTTCAGTGCCGTTTTTAAAATGTCCAGCTCCTGACAGTCAGTCCTTCCGTATTCGGGGTGTTTGTCTGTGATCACGCACCGCTGGAGTCGGACTTTCCAAACCCGCATCTCCACGCACCCTGCCTGCGCTTTTTTTCCGCAGACCCAGCTGGGTTCTAGACGGTGAACGTGATGATGCGTCTCGTTGCCGGGCCGCCTGCAGCTTTTCCATAATTGCCCTTTAAGAACAAATGCTGCTTCATTACAGCTTTTCTCTCTCCACATGTTCGAGTGATTTAGAAAAAAACACACTCGTGTTGTGGTTCTACTAGAGTTCAAGTGATAATTTTATCCTGGAGCCGAGTCAGTACTTTGGGAGACTAAATCGCATACAAATGATGAAAGTCGGCCAAGCAGCAGCCCCAGACCGAGGGGACGGCTGCCGGCTCAGGCTGACTCTGCTGCTGTCCCTTCTCAGATCTGACCTTTCCCAGCCCTGGCCCGGCCCAGCTTCTCTGGGATCCTTGCGGGGCAGGGGAGGGATGGGGGTGATCATTTAAATTGGGGAAGATGTTTGACCTGCACGGTCGTTTTCTCCCACCCAGTGAGCCAGCCACTCTGACTGTTTGCATTTTAGGCACGCATTTGGAAATTCTGGATTTCCTGGAACATTTACTATTTTACATAAATGGATTATTTTCAAAGTCAGTTTTTTCATTGGTATACCTTTTTGTGTTAATGCATTCTCAGATTAGTTAAAAAAAAAAATCCTTCATGAGACCAAGCGTTTGGAGCTTGGGTTTGGAAAAGCCCGGGCACTCCCTAAAGAGAACCTTGCAGCCTCCGTCATCCTCAGGACCTGCCACACTCTCTGCGGGCCCCGGGGTTCAGGCCATTTCTCGGGGGCCACACTGCACTGCATAGCAAGGGGAAGTCTTCAGCAGCACAGGGACTCTTCACCCGAGGCCCAGCAGGGACACAGGGCGAAGTTCCAGGCGGGCCGAGTCCAGGAGGGAGGCTTTCCCTTTTCCAGATGAGGCCTGTGAGCCAGGTTCAGACAGTGAACTTCAAACCACTTGGCAATCGAAAGCCTGAGCCAGGGGCTGGAGTAAAAAGCCCTTGCTTTTCCCACCCTTTTGCCAGCAGGGCACGCCTCTCTCCCTGGCTGCCCACCCTCCCCTGCTAGTTTGCTAGTTTGTAAAATGTGCTAACCCACAGCCCCCCCGGTGCCAACTCTGAACTGCCAGTGTGAGAAGAGCCCGAGTTGGCCCCACACACCACGTGGGCTTCACAGTAACAGTCATCGACTTATAAACGCAGAGCACACCCAGTGCGGTTTTGCCTTTCGCTCTCCCCGTGCTTAAAATAAAAGCTGTTTGAAATCTCAAAATACAATGTTATTTTACCAACGCCATAGAGATGTTAGTAGGATCAACGAGACACTCACTAAACGTCATTTTGGATTCATTGTGAAAAGATGCTCCTTGATTACTAAGAGTTTTCGATTTTCAGTTTGGTGGTTAGCCTCAAATATTTTTAAGAGATCCTTAGAAGGCAGATTAGATGAAACCGCCTTAAGGCATTTTATTGTTATGCTGATAATACCTATAACTTGTAAGTCATAAGAACTCCCTCTCTTCCTTTCACTTCTTTCTTCATTCCTTTGTTAATTCAAAGAACCCTGAATATTCTGCTTGTGTGTAAGAAATCATAGCTGGGGCTGGATGGGACCCAGCAGTCAGCAGGAATGTTCTTTGCTTTAGATACGTTGCTCATTAACAAGACAGGAATCAAAATAATGTTATTTATTAAATAAATATTTTTCTTACTTTGATTCCAGTCCCAGGGGTCCTCTCCTACACTGTTTGTGTCTTTGAGAGCCAGAGCCAGTCTGGGTTCAAATCCTACTTCATCCATTCTCTCACCGTGTGACCTTGGGCAAGCCTTAGTCCCGGCTGTTAAATGGGTATCAACTTAGTACCTGACCAGAGAGTCGTTGGGTTGAGTCAACGAGCCTCTAGAGCCTGGCACATCGGAGCGTTTGCCGCCCTTATAATTATTTGCAAACATTAATTTTTGTGTCACTTAGCGCTGTACTCTCCAGGACGGTAGCCACTAGCCACAGCCAGCTGCTGAGTCCTGGGAACGTGACATGTCTGAGTTACGCGGGTTCTAAGTGCCAAATGCACACCGGGTCTCAAAGGCTTCATAGAAACCTAAGAGCTTCTCATTAATACTTTTATACCGATTACATGTGGAAACGATAATTTCTGATATGTTGGGGTTAAATCAAATATATTATTAAATTTCAATTGCATACATGGTTAAATCAGATGTATTATTAAAAATTTAATTGCCTGCGTGGCTTGGGTTAACCCTCTGTCGAACGATGCTGATTCAGATCAAGATGTCCCTGTGGCCTGAAGATGGTTGAAGGAGAACCAAGATGCCTTTCACAGAGTCGTGAAATAGAGCCCAAGTGAATGAACGCACTGGGGAAAGGCGTTTCAGAAAACTCACTCTGTTTGAGAAGGAAACCAAGTAGTGTCAGTCTAGCTTGTCTCATAACATAGTTCTGTAAATCCAGTTAATTTGATATTTAACGTTCCAGTAACTATTTATATTCTTTTTTAGTGACAAGTTCACTAGATTTTGCCAGTGGAAAAACGTAGAATTAAATATCCATGTGAGTATCATCTTTCTTTTTTTTCTTCTTTCTTCTTTCTATTTTTTTTTTCTTTTTTAAAATAAAAACTCACTCTGGCTTCACTGCGTGAGAAAATACTTGCTTCTGGAGCCTGCTCCCCAGGGTGACACCCTGCCTGAGCAGATGTCCCCGCAGCTTTACGGATGACAAAGCTGCCCTCCCGCCCCCAGCTGTAAACAAGCTGACTCGTAATTCTCTTTTTGCATATTCCTATAAGAAAGTGTTAGTTTATTTAAGAAGGGATATTTTAAGCAGTCATTGGCCCTTTAACAGAAACGGTAGTGAACATAGAAGTCTAGGTAACGTGATTCCCGGGCGCCCTTGTCTTTTGCCATCCCGGGAAGGTTGCTTTCCTTTTCTTTATTATTAAGTGTAATCCTGTAATAAAAATGGTCACATCTTTTTTTAGACCAAAGCCTCATGTTGTTTTTTTAAAATTATTTTGAGCCCGGCTGGTGTGGCTCAGCGGTTGAGCATCGCCCTAGGATCCAGGAGATCGCGGTTCGATTCCCGGTCAGGGCACAGGCCCGGGTTGCGGGCTCGATCCCCAGCAGGGGGCAGCCGATCAGTGACTCTCATCATTGATGTTTCTCTCTCTCTCCCTCTCCCTTCCTCTCTCTGAAATCAATAAAGATATACTTAAAAAAAAAAAAAATTATTTTGAGAATGCTAAGAGCAGCCCTGAAACACTGGCTCCTTCCCAGCGTGCATTTCCCTGGCGTCACGTCTGCCTGTGGCGCCCAGCGCCCGCAGTTCCAGGGCACGGGCTTCGCTTCACTGGTCGAACGCACCTTTTTTTATCCAGCCTCTCTTACCTTCTCCTTCCCCTTCACGGAGGCTTGCAGTTGGGAAAAAGAAATGATCAACTGGTGTTTTTTTAATTTTTTTTTTTATTTTTTGGAGTTTTTCACTCGAATGGTCCTGTTGGAAGAGGAGTCGGTTTTTTGTTTATTTTTTTTTAACCTCCCCTTGCCATCGCATTCCCTGGCAGGATTTAGAAGCAAGAGGCAATAACACGTTTTTTTAAAAAATTCCCTTATTTCTGCCGTGGATCCTCCTTACTCTTGTGCTCCTTCAGCTGGCCTGGTGTCTGCACGTCCCATGTCCCGTGTCCCGTGTCCCGTGTCCCGTGTCCTGTGTCTCTCAGCATCAGACGTGAAGCCTGTGCCCAGCTGCCTCTACCCGGCCACAGACGTGATGTTTTAAAGGGGTGTTTAGGGGAACTTTTAAGCATCTGACCCCTTACTTTGCCGGGATGTGTAAACTGGCAGGCATTTGCTTTTATCCGACGGCCTCCTACCAGGACCGGAGGGTCGTCCCCTCTGTCTGATGCTGTTAAAACTCCGTAGGAAGCAGGGCATGGCTGAGATGATTGTTCACGAGAGGAAAGTGCTTCTGAATAAAGCCTCTTTATGTACTGTGCTCACACGTAGTCCCGTTTCATGCTCACGTGCCCAGCACGGGTCCCCTCCGTGCACCGATGGCATCGATGAAAAATTCCCGTGGCCGGCGTCTGTCGGGCTTTCTCATCAATCGCGTGGCTCACTCTCAGGGAAACGCCGATGCCCCGCCGAGGAAATGGACTTATTTTCCCGCCGTGACAGTTCTGGAATTGCTGAGCCGTTCCCAAACTTTAGGCTTCAGAGGAGCTGAAGTTGCTTTTCATTTTGACCAGAAATCTCCCAACCACTTGTCTTCAAGGGGGGGTGTGTCTTGTAACCTAAGATTGAAGAGCTCGGAAGAGCAATCTTGCAACTGCTCCCGTTTCGTTGCCTCTGTTTCGTGCATTTAAGGGGAAGAGCAGGAAGGGGTTCTAGAAAGTCTTGCCACCCTGTGCAGCTCCTGTCTCAGTTTAAGGAATCGGGCACGGAGATGGCAGGTCCCTGCCACCAGAACTGCCCTCTGAATAACTTGTGTATGTTTTGCGCGGGCAGATCCTTGCCACTGAATTTTTATGCGATCGTATGTTTCCGTTTCGTGCTTTGAATCCGCAGCTGACCATGAATGATTTCAGCGTGCACAGGATCATCGGGCGAGGCGGCTTTGGAGAAGTGTACGGTTGCAGGAAAGCAGACACCGGAAAAATGTAAGTTTTTGATGTTTGGACGTTTTGGATGCTCGAATCCAAAGGAAGTCCCCGCATAGATTTTTGGAAGCCCGTGGTCAAGCTTGATTAAGGGACTGGCCCACCGGAACAGTGGGCGAGGTGGAACAGTGCGTGAGATTGGTGTGTAAAATCACTGAGTCAGCGGGGAAGGAGTGATTGAGGCCCCCTGACTCAGTGCCCGCTGCCCCAGCCTCACCCGTAGGGTTGTCACTCAGCCTCTGCCCGAGTCTCTCCTGGTCCTACAGCCGGCATGTTTTTTTCCTAACGTGGCTGCTGTGGGACCCTGTGCAGGGTGCACCCAGTGCCTGGCACCCAGGTGTCTGAATCTGGCTTTGGGCTGAGACAGGACAACGTAGGGACCCGGAGTGTGGGTCCCTGGTGTCACACGGCCAGGTCAGATTCACCGCCCCACTTGCTTTCTGGCCCCGGGCGAAGTTTGCGCCCCTCTGAGCCTTCACATTCTAGTTTGTAAAGTAGGGATAACAATCACACTTCACGAAATTTATTAGTTTTACTTCATCGCTGCAGCTTGTTGAGCTCTTTGGACTATCTAGTCTGTCGCATGATGTCGAAGTAAATAAATAACATCAATTTGTCTCTTCAAACACGTTTGTTATTTTAGCCGACGCTCAGAAACTGACACGGAGTAGAATGTCTTTCAACTTAGGTTTGTCTGATGCTTTTCCCACAGTTAGGCTGGGGTTATGGGCTTTCGGGAGGAAGACCCCAGAGGTGTAAGAAAAAAAAAAAGGCCATTCTCATCACATCATATCAAGGCTACCTGTTATTAAAGTGGCTGATCCCTGTTGACATGGACCTTGGCCCCTTGACCGAGGTCGTGTTTGTCAGACGTCTCCACTGTGAGAAGCCACCCCCCCCCC